TTATGTTAATTTAGTGAAGTTCTTTGTCATTAAAGTTCCAATTGTTTTCTAAAAAGTGTTTCTTATATATTTATCTTGCGTTCACAAGTGTCGATTATACCGCGCACGTTCGAAAATATTGAGATCGATCCGCGGGCGCAACAATATTATATATATGTATATCAGTGCTCGGAATTAGTCTGAACATTTCAGCCGATTTCCGTGGTATACGCCTCCTTTCCTCTCCTTACCGCGCGCGCCGCAGCCGCTAGGGCCAGCGCCGCCGAGCGTTAGGAGCGACACTATCTGATTATGAGTGGGTTCTTTTCCCTATTTATTAAAATTTTAAAAAATGTATTAAAATTTATTAAAAATAAATTTTTTATTTTTAAATTTATTAAGTGGAAATATTTCAATAGATTTCCACGTCACCCATGAGATACTAATGCTGACGCGTTTTTTTTTAAATGGTTTCCCCCGTAGACCTATTCCACTAAAGATAAAAATAAATTCTTAATTTAAAAAAAAATATATATGTAAAAGAGATTTTCTTAATTAGATTTTCTTAGCCTTTTATGAGAATGAACAATTGATGCAATAATGTAGATAAAAACCACTTTTTGAAAAACGTGTTAGTATTAGTACCTCATGGGTGACGTAGAAATCTATTGAAATATTTCCACTTAATAAATTTAAAAAAAATTTATTTTTAATAAATTTTAATAAATTTTTTTAAATTTTAATAAATAGGGAGAAGAATCTACTCATAGAACCTAATCAGATAGTGTCGCTCCTAACGCTCGGCGGCGCTGGCCCTAGCGGCTGCGGCGCGCGCGGTAAGGAGAGGAAAGGAGGCGTATACCACGGAAATCGGCTGAAATGTTCAGACTAATTCCGAGCACTGGATTATACGATTGGCGTTTAATGGCTTGAAAACTCGTGCATCATATATTTTTTTCCAATCCAAACTTTTTTGCGCTTTTTCAACATTTCTCTAAATGGAGGCACATATTTTATTGACGCGTCGTTGTAGCGTGCACATTTAACGGCTGACGAGAATGTAGTTCCAATTAAAGAAACGTTCGTAGAGAAAATATTGGAAAATACGACTTTGTAAATAGATATTACGAATCACAACTCGCACTTTAAAATTTATAATTCCTCATGCTTTGCATTCTTGTCATAATTATCCATGCGTAAAGTTATATTAAATAAGGTATATCGCATCCGGTATAGAATATATATAAAATTCTAAAAGTTTTTACGCGAGACATGAAGATAAAAGAAAGCCGGCGATTTCTATAGCGGCGTATAATACTGAGATTTCTCCCATTGAGCCCGAAGAGTCTCGATAAGCGCTGAAGGTCTGAAAATTCAGAGGACAATTACCTTGAGAACACTCTCGTCTTCGGAATGACAGGACGACTGCAGCGTGACATCGGCTACCGTGCCGGCTTGACTCACGATGAAAACCTTCATCCCTTGCGATACCTGACGTCCCGTCAGCACCGCCGTATTCATCACCTCCCAGTTCTGAAGTGAAGTACAAAACATTTTCTCGCGTTAGAGGCAAACTCATATCTCAAACTCCAATTCCAATTTTTAATAGTATATCATGGAAATTTGCATATATTTCAATATATGCATCTCTATAACTTTCATTGATAGAGCCATTATCCATTATTCATAACTGTTATCCATTCTGTTTTCAGTTTCGTCTCCCTTTTGCCGCCGCAAAACAAAAGACGCGGTAAGCGATATTGAAAAATGTGAAAATACAACACTCAAGAAATATGAATCGGATAGAAAAAAAATATACAATAGAATATTCCGAAAAATATTGAATTTATTACCCAAGGTATATAAATGCGCCTAAAGTAAAAATAAAGCGAGGTGTGAAGTCTAAGAAAGAATCAATTTTTGTTAAAACTCCGTTTTTCTGTATACAATTCGAAATTAATTGCCGTAATCGTTTTTCCATTATTTTACAGAAAAGAGAAAAAGATAGAGACGGAAGAAGACTACATTCTGTTTCAACGACTTTTTATTTCTCTGTCTAGAACGGAAGGAGCATGAGTTTTTGACTCACTTCGCAAAAACCGGAACTTCGAAGCTGCCGAAGAAAGCTTTGGTCATAACTCAAAATCCTTTCCGCACAGGCCAACGATCATCTTCTCTAATGGAGCATTAAAAGTTTTTTATCACATTGAAAGTCCCTTTTTTGCGAAGCGATGCCTTTTTCGAAACGACTGTCTGATGTTTTAACACTGTAAAATAGCAAAGAGCCCAAAAGCAGCTCATACACGTGAAACTACAGATTTGCGTAGTCTCGTCTGACATGTGGCTACTTTGCTGAAGACACGCTCACCGCGATGTTACACGTATACACGCGAAAATTACTTTCAGCGTTTACGCTCACATACACGCAACGCGCGCTCGTGTACTTTCCACTAGTTCGTCAATGGGGAGAGCTTTCGCAAAGGGTTGGCAAGGGTTGGTCGGTTGGTCGGTTCAGTAAGCCATTTTCAAGCTGGCTTCCGTCCGTACAGACTGCCGGCCTTTGGAAGGAACATCAAACGACTCGGATATTGCAACGAGGGAATTTAAATCTCTGATGCCGTACGCAGTTGCTATATACCTCTCCTGGCGCCTAGTGTATGAACCAGCCGATTACTGTATCGCTGGCACGGATGAGTAGGTTCTTAGAATGGTGAAATTGGTGGATATATAGTTTCTTCCCTTTCTTTCATCAAATATATTCTTGCAGTGCGCCGCGATTCGCGCGAGTATTTACGCGAGGAAACAATTGCGCACGCTGTTGCAGTGCAATTAATTTGTTCTGTACAGGGAAATGCATAAATAAGTCAGATTAAACAAAGCTACAATAATTTAAATAACGTTAATATTAATTGATACTAAATTTTGCGAATACATTTTGGTGCTAATATCTAGCTGCAGCACTTTAAACCACTTTATCTTGTTACGAGTCGTGTGAGTCACAAGTCGTTATAATGTTATAAATCAGTTTTATTTTCAGATATTAAATCGCTTTCTGAACCCCTCATTCTTCTTATTATTTCAACAGATTAAGTCGCTGCAAGATTATTTTAACACTGCAATTTGAATATACAATGCTGAATTCTTGATGCATGAATCGAGCGTACAATCCGCCACTTCCGAGATCGTAAAATTATTTTTTGATATATGTATGAATGAAGCATGCAGTCGCTTCCCACGCAGACGCTTCCGAGATTGCGAAATTATTTTCCGAGTCTGTTCCGAAGGAAGGCAGAAAATATTCTCAACGTATAATTTGCGATATTTCGCCGAACGGAAGGGACAGACGGGGAGGGGATGTGGAAAGGTAGGGATTTTACATTTACGTTACGTGAAATATGAACAATGCACGGGCTATTACGTTGATAAATTTCAGCGAAGAAAACAAGCGCGCGTGTCGGAGGTCGCTAATTGATAAATTAGATAATTAATTCGTTTACATATCCCTTTGAAGGCGCCGCGCGCGCTCGCGGGAAGTTGTCGGAAACTCGGCGTGCGCTTCTTGATTATCCTTACTCTAATTGCCGCTCCTTCCGCGCGCGAAACTACGAGTAAAGTTTTTAATTAAACGAGACCCCGCGCGATATCTTTTCTCGACGTTCTCGATCCCTGCGTTATCCATCACAACCTCGAGAAATCAAATTTTAAGATATAACTCATCGACGGCACCGAAAACATTTCAAATTCGTTGAAAGAATATCATTTGCCAATAAAAGAAATTATATTTAACGATCGAACTTTGTTATCCACCCTTCGCGGTTCCGTAATTTTCAATGGAAATGTTTCTCTGGGCAATTAAAATCTGAAGAGAAATTAATATGTCACGCTTTACACGCTTCACGTGATTGGTACCGTCGGGGGAGGGGGGGGGAGGGGAGGGGATGCGTCGAGACCACTCGGTGTGCAGTAATCGAAAATTTCATTACAATCCGTTGTTACGGCAGCTGCGTCACTGCCGTTATCGAAATGGGAGTACGCAGCTCGGGCGATCGGCTACGCGGTATCGACGGAATTTTGGCCACGGCTAGAAATATCGCCGTTATGGTGAACGTGCGGGCGCGGTAAAGCTGAAGGGAAAAGCGCGTCAGAGAGCTTGTTCGCCCTGGGAGCCAAAGAGGGAAAAGCATTATCCTTTGTCGGTCCTCTCTCCTTCTGGCGCTTTTTCCTTTTTCTCATCCACGTCTCCTTTCCTTTCTCTTTCTCTTTCTCTCTCGGCGTCTCGATGCTCGCGAAGACCGTAGATTGGCCGACCGAGTGGAAACAGATTCTCGTGCGGCGAGGTGATCGATATACGACTGTATTGATCGCGCTCGTCGCGTTCGAGTTAGCTCTTTTCCGAGGGATTTTCACCGACGAAGCGCGACGGGAACGAAAAGCATCGCGATGAAAATAACCATAACCGAAAGAGGAAAGCTGAAATCTGACCAAAGTCTCAAAAATCCTTCAACTACTTTTCCTGTAACGTCTTAAAGTTCCTGATCCGCCGCTGCAGTCAAGGTGTAGATTATGACGTCAGAAGCGTAGAAACATTCGGATATTCTTCTTGCAGTATATGTCCGAATAAACGAGCTTTTTGCGTCACAATTATTCGCGTGTGATAGGAAAGGTCCGATGAAAAATCGTATGAGAGATTTTTTAAATTTTCTTTCCCGAATAAATGGCGCGATAAAAGCATGTATTATGATCTCCGAAACTTATATTGTAGATAGCTTTAATTTTCAACCGCTAAAGAAAAAATAATCTTTAGATTATTCTTTAATTAGAAAATTACTATTTAATGTATAGACCCGCGCGTAAGCTATACATTGACATTCTAAATACGATATAAACTTAAAAATTTATTCGAAAATCTATTCGAAAATCTAATTCTGTTTAGATTTTTATGTAACATTGGCGATAAAAGAAAGAAAGACGGCTTCATTTTAAGATAACGTACATCACTGAGCAGAATTAACATTTATATCGCTGCAGGAATCATGTATTACCTTCGAGATCGGAAGCACTGCCTGTATATCATCCTTCTGTATCTCGAGTCGCGCCTGCAGCTTTCGCTTCTCGACATGATGATGATGATGGTGCTGCAGCTGGCGAAACTGCGTTCGCTCCTGCAACTGATCGACGCCCGTCAACTGCGAACCGTTCTCCATCTCGCCCTCAAGCGCATAATGTACGGTCCACACAATCCTGCCGCCATCCCAGCTTCCGCCCATGCCCTCTTCACTGGCCTCCAGCAACATCGTCATTATTTCCTCCGCGGACCTGAAACGAGAAGCAAAAGACTGTGAAATATCTGCATTATTCGCGCGTCTGCAAGAGACACGAGCTTTATTTTTCAAAAGAAAAGAGAAGAAGTTTCTTTCTTTCTTTTTTTTTTTGTACAAAAAGAAATCTTTGATAAAAATTTCGCAATTAAATTTTAGCAGAGATTATGAAAAACAATATAAAAATAATTACTGAGCTTATGACAAAATGACGAATGCAAACAAAGGTCTGTAGAATGTAGATCTCATTCATCGGACGGTTCAAAGATGCCGAGAAAAATATGCGTGTACACGTTTCCGCCATGAGCGCGGATAAACGTTCGTTTATTCGCTCGCTCATGCTTGCGCGAGTCTAAATACACCTTTAAACGATTGATGCCATTTCCTCGCGAGGAGATTCGCGAGAACGAGCGCCGGAATTAAAAGGAATGAACACTCCTACTTGTTAGCTGGCTGTTAAGCGGCAAACAGAAAAATGTACATAGTTGTGAGAACTCGACGATGTCCCTCGCCGTGCGAGGGTATTTATCTCAATGCACGCTAAAAGCATTTCTTTAAAACATCTTTACTTTTTCTGTTCGGTTACACGCGATCCCACACGGCTCATTCATATTTCACGACGATCAGCGGACGACGTCGCATTAAAATTGCCGTAAAAATGAACAATTTCCGCGGGAATTGTAAATTAAACCGTAATTAAATATTCATAGTTATGTAAATGTGATTACGCTCCTCAGGATCTGCAAATTTATCGAATATAGTTAACCATTATTAAGTGCCAACAAGACTTTTTTTCTACGTAACATAGTCTCACGCCAAATTATACGCGGCAAAAAGGTACACGTCACCCTAATCCATAAATTCGGCGCGCTGGTTAATAGCTGTTTCGCGTTTTTATGCTACCCTCTCGAAAGGGGTAATTTTCATAATTAAATGATGTTATCTTGCAAATCACCCGAGATAAATAATTCCAGACTTGTCGCAAACAATCTCAGTTTTCAAATAAAGCTTGCTTTTCGCGATGTTCGAAAATATCGACATATCAAGCCGTATCAATTACATCTCAAGTGATCGTAATTTAGTCGAAGTCGATCGGCGATGTAGCCAGGTGTTTAGTGACCTACATAGAGCGATACTATTACTGGTCAGCTGATTAGCCGATCGTAGTAACGTTGTTACGTAACATTATAGGTACACGCGCTCAACATGAGACACGCGCATCGTGTTTCTACTCTGTAAAAAAACATGTGAATTTTCGTTGTTGTCATTTTTCTACAATTCTGATTGTCTATCTCGACGCGCGTTACTTTGTCCTATCAAACGATTGTTACTGCGAAAGTTACATACTTTGACAGTTTATATCTTAAGAAAGTTAACAGTGTATTTCATTTTAAAGAAAAACCAAACGACGTACGTTTTTTTGCTTAAACAGTTTCGTTAATTTTTACACATAATTTATACGGTTTGCGGTTAGTGCAGTTTTTTTTTAATTTAATAGAAAATATTCAGTGTCTTTTTTTTAATCTTGATATTTCAAATTCTTTGTTTAAATCCTTTCTGGACTCTGTCAATGACGCAATTCTACTGCTTTAACATAAATGCTGGCTCAAAATGCGGTTTAATTAATTATTTTTGAATTATTCTACACTTTACATTATTTTATTTGATATAGATAATATATTACTTTTGATGAGATGTTATTATTATACATACTTGGCATGAGATGTGTCGCGTGTTTCGATAATTGTTAGCCAGGTTGGTGGACGTATCAATATTTATATTCAAATGGAAAATTATGCGTCTTCTTCCGTCCTCTTTTATACTATTCAGTTACACACGTCCAGTCACTTCAAACGGACACAATGTCACTAAATATTGTAACTAAAAAGCATATATGGCAATATTATGTAAAACTGCCGAATTTTGAAGCACAGTGCAAGTTAAATATAATCACATAAAAGTTGAACCCTTCAAAATACATATAGCAATACAGCATACAAAAATTTGGAAATATGAAAAAGAGAGAAAACTAATATGGCCATGGATGGGTATTTCATAAGTTATATTCAATGTATTATTTGTGATGCAAATATTCTATCTACATCCGAATCTCTAGAAAATCATTTGAGTTTGCATTCTGAAAAACGACGAGAGAATCATATACTGTACAGTTGGCCAAAGAAATATTGGATACAAAGAAATGATTTTGAGGTGGTAGTATTTGTAACAACAACTTATCTCTTTCTGTTAACATTCATCTGGATTTTCATATAAAAAAAGACACATTTGGACAAATTGAAAAATACGCAAGAAACACACAACACAATTAATTCGTCAGAACGCGTTTCATCACTTGAAACGGACGCAATATCTATGTTACTAAAAGATTTTTAATCTCGAAGAAAAATATCGATGTTTGTGTGGATTGTCAAGAATATATTTTAAATATTTCAACTTATTGGCGTGAAATGCATTATTTGTGACGAGGACGTTTTATTTTTATCTAAAAGTTTAGAAGATCACTTATACTCGCATTCTAAAGAACAATTTCGGATTTTTCCAATAAATGTTTATGTTTTTTATCAAATGAAGCGCTGTTTGATTAAACACTCGTTTGTTGTAGTTGTAATCAAGTTTTGTTCGTGTTACGATTTCTTAAGCGTGCTATGTAAGAATGAATAACATTATTTATCGGAAAATTCCATGTGACTTATTACACAACTCAATATAAAAAAAAAAAATGAATATAACGACAGCAGAAAGACGAAACTTCTGTGCATTGCTGTAGGTGCCAATGCTCTTATCATGACGAATATGAAACGGCGATTGTAAAAAGATCGTATCCGATAATTATATGTAGAATACTTATTTATAACTCGTAAATAATATTCATATTAGCTTGAATTCGATTTGAAAAGGAAATCATAAATTATGTCTTATCGAGATTCTTATCTGGTTGCAAAAATATCCAGCTATTTATAAATTAATCAATGCTTACACAAACTTATTCGGCAGGCGTGATACAAACGTCATGCGATACAAACTATGTACTCAATTTTGTTGCTGTCTATTCGATATTCTTATTTCTAGCGGTGAAGAGTCAGCGCATGTTCATCGGCGCTGACTCTTTTCCACGGAAAAAAAGTTAAAATCCTGCCGATGTGACGAGTGACGATGTTAGTTTAATTTGCAGAATGCGAAAACTTATTAATAGCTTTTACTTTTAAGCAATATTTTCTTATTTCCACAACGTAGAAGAGAAAAGGACAGCTGTGCGGGGGTGGGTTAGTCGCTTATTACAACTTATCGAGATTCTTATCTCATCGCGGCGAAGGGAGCGACGTTATTTCAAAAGTAATTATTCCGCAGCCTCAAGTTACCTGCCTAGTTACGAGGAGTAGCAGTATCACATGCATCGGCTTGATCTCGTTGCGACGACCGTCGTCGTTCGTTGGTGGCGCGCGTCGTGTAGAATCTCGATAAGCGGTACTCCCGAAGTCAACCCTTCTTATCGCCGCTATCGATCTATGTTGCGTGCGTGCCGGGCTGGCGTTACTCCCGGCTCGCGATCGATGATCTACGACCGAGGCGTCGAGTAAATCGTCGATTTTGCGGAAGCGCCCGGCGGAGCCGGCGTCGAAGTCGACGCGGAATCAAAGCGGACCATCGGCGGCGGGTTAACAATGATAACGAGAATCACGCCCATCCGCATTTTTCCGTCTTTCCTCTCCACTCTCTCCCGTCCCCGCCCTTCCACCGATCTCAGCGCGCATCGATGTTGCTATGTCAGCTGCAGCGCTTTTGCCCCGTTTTTTTCTCTTTATCAGCGACGACGGTATTTAAGGCGACCATCCCGCCCACTGTCGGGAGTGCCGATCGCCTTTTCGAGTTGCGAGATCAGTTATGCATCGCAGCGCGCTATTTTTCCTCGGGATTACGCTCGCGTTGCTCGCAAGTACGCGTGTCACCCAAGCGTATCCCACGCAAGAAGATGCTCAAGAGCGGAATGATGTGTTGATTGTACCGACGACGGGACCGTTTATCGACGACGGAGGTGTCGTGGGCGAAAAGAACAGCGACAGTTTATCGTACAGCAAAGAAAAAGATACAAAGAGAGAAGATAGAAGAAGATGAACGAACAAAAAAGGAGGTGTACGTCGATGACAAATGGAAATCTCTGGCGGAGATCTCCGAGGAGGAGATACACCAATCTCAGCGCGTGAGGCGGGCAGCAAAGCGAAAGAGGAAGGACAATAATGATGATGATGATGATGATGATGATGATGATAATGATAATAACAATGACGACAGTAGCAGCAGCAGCAGCAGTTCTTCCGATGACGACGACGATGACAACGATAATAAAAAAAGCAAGAAACAGCGCAGAAAATCGAAAAAAAATGATGACGACGATGACGACGACGACGATGATGATCGTAAGAAGAGTAAAAAGCATCAAGGGAAATCGAAGAAGAATGACGACGACGATGACGATGATGACAACAATTGTGATGACGACGACGACGACGACGATGATGATAACGATGATGACGATTCATCTTCGTCTTCTTCCTCATCCTCGGAAGAGGACAAGAAGAAGCGAGGAAAAAGAGAGATAAAAGACGATAATACATCGGAAAGCAAGACGTCCGAAGAGAAGAACGATCCGAAGAATCGACTTATTAGGACGATTGGGGATACATCGGAAAGCAAGACGTCCGAGGAGAAGAACGATCCGAAGAATCGATTTATTCGTGCAGTGGGGGATACTTCCAAAAGCTCATCCAAAGAGGAGAATAAACCGAAGAATCGACTTAGCAGAGGGGTCAAGGTTAGTGTGGAAAGCGGATCGTCTGAAGAAAAGAACAAGCCAAACAACTTGCGATTTATCCGCGCAGTTGGGGGGGATGCTTCCCCGGAAAGTGATTCGTCCGAAGAGAAGAACAAACCGAAGAACCGATTTGTCAGAGCGATCAGAGATGCTTTAGACGAGAGTAAATCATCGTCGGAAGAGAACAAACTGAAAACTCGATTCGTCCGATCAATCGATGATGCCGGGGAAAAAAGTCAATTGTCCTTCAAAGAAAGATTCAGACCGAAATATCGTCTGGGTTGGACGTCCAATGATCTCACGAGTAAATTGTCATTTGAAAAAACAGCCGAAGCTCCTTTCCTTATCGGCGCTTACGAAGTTGATGCCATCCAACCGTACCTTACTGCAGAACAAACCGACAAAGCGCACAATCGAGTGACTCGATCGAAGGATGACGAGAAGAAAAAGAAGAAGAAAAGGAAGAACAATTCAAAGAAGAAGCATCATTGCACGCCCAAGGCGACTACTGTGAAAGCAGATACCTTGAATCAAACGACACTACCAGCGGACCAGCGTCCGCTTTGATAGCATTGATGCCTTTATATATATATATATATATATATACTTATATTGTATTTCCTTTAAAAATACGATATATCGGGAGTTTGCGTTAAAGTTAATGTAATTTGAAATTTATTTTACTAAACTCTTTAAATCATAGTAAATATACTTAAGTAAATAAATACAGCTTGTTTTTCATTAATCATTCAATCTTGTGAAAATGAAAAAAGAAACGAGGATAAAAAATATAATTTTTCGATGAGTAAATGCGTAGTTTATAAATTCTTAAAACTGATAAATTAATAATTTCGATATTACAAAATGTTAGTATTAAAATAACATTTTATAAATTCTTAAAATTGATAAATTAATAATTTCGATATTATAAAATGTTAGTCCGTTAAAATAACATTTTTGCTTCAAAACAAGTTATTAGCGATAATTCTAAAATTGTATTGATCATAAGAGAAATTAATTTGATGCAATTTTGAGTAAGATTTAACGGATCTGCACTTTTTAACGCGCCGAAAAATTTACACTTTTGCGCAACAAAACTTAATTCGTAGCACTTTCAGCTTAACGAGGGAAGCGCAAGATTTAAATTACTTGCATTAACCGTCCTCATAAATAGTCCACAAAATTCAACAAGAATTTTGCCAAGCTCGCCGACGTATATACATCGACTTAATAAGGGGAAATTGTGCGTGCTGTATGACGAGATTACTTCGAATGCTTTCTACGTGATGCTACTTACGAGCTTGGTGCACGTGATGCCTTTTCCTTGCGTCGCGCCGTGAAAGAAGCGGCTGTGTTTTTCGCGTTAACATCACTCTCAACGATCCAGTCCGGGCTGCTAGATGAGGCATCCAAAATCTTCACGCCAGACTTCACTCTCGCCCTGAAATACACAGTAAGTGCGCAATTATAGCATACATAAGATATTATGCATTAACGTGTGCAATATTGAGTGGAAAGAAATGAAATATTAATCGCATTGAATAAGAAATATCTGCAAATTGTCTTCTATAAAATATTAATCATCCTTTGTTCTTCATTGAGGTGAATATGTGATCACGCGATAAGTATTCATTTATCAATCGGGAAAATTTCATTCTGAACAATTTGATGAATTAATAATTCTATATATACAATTGAGTATAATGTAATATAGAAATGTACTGTAATAATCCTAATATAGAAATCACTCCAATAATCATAATGATTCTTTGAATTCTTTCACTGCTTACAGCAGCAAGTCACATAAATTATATTTTTCCTGAGCACGCAATTTTTCCTATTTCACGCAAAATTAATTAGAAAGTTTATAATTAAAAAATGTCCTACAATTTTGAAATATGCATTCATATTAAGTAAATCTGCAATTATATTATACATGTGCACGAAATAACATTCTAATTATTTAAATATAAGATGACAAAATGCGATGAAATTTGTATAAAACACATTTTTAAAACATTATTTAACAATATTCAATTCTATCATCAATGTACACTATTGTTAATATTGATGTAATTCAATAATCATTTCGGTTATTAGATTTTGATACTATGTAACACATATTTCAATATCACTCAAAAAAAATATTTCGCTGATGTAGTTAGATTTCTAGATATCGCAACAAGAATGTATCGCTATTTTTCGTATCTGTGAAAACATTGTTTGTCACATATAGAATTTATAGCAGTAATGTTCTAGCAATAGCTTCTGAAAAATTTAGGTACCATTGCTAAATGTTATTCATTGCATGATCTAACACGTGATTGATCTTATATAGATAGGCGCTTACCGATGTGAACTTGGCGCCCAACTTTATTTTAAAAAAATCACTAATCTAGTTCGTTTGTACTTCGTTTGTACCTGTTTGTACCGCTTCTTATTTCGTTTGTACCTCAAAGGGTAAAAAAATACAAGGGGGTGAAAAAATGGCCAGCGCCCGATTACAAGATTTTTAAATTTCGTTTATGCCATTCGAAAGAGAATCGTTTGTACCCGTTTGTACCTCTTTTGATTTTGTTTGTACCTCAAAGGGTTCGAAGATACAGCGTTTTTCAGTTTCAGCCTAACCCTTCTATAGGGAACTTAGCCATTTTACAAGATATCGAGAAACGACCAACGGCATTCGAAAGAGAATCGTTTGTATTCGTTTGTACCACTTTTGTTTTCGTTTGTACCTCAAAGGGTTCGAAGATACAGCG